TGTGTGGGATTTTTGCTTATTCGAACAGAAATTGTAACTTCTTAGTAGACATGGATATGTGGATAACATATGAATATCTAATGAATATCTTCGGTAGTTACTTGATGGACATAGATATATGGATAATGTGTACACATCCATTAGATATCCTCGCTAGTTATTTGAGAGATATAGATACGAGGTTTGATCAAAAAATACGCGGAATTTTTTAATTTTGCGGGCTGTATAAGTCCAATTGTCATATTTTTTTTCTGTTGTGTTGGTACACTTGTCCCTGACGTATCTTGACATTGGTAGCCATATTGGATGCTTACTTTATTGTTGGCTGTCGAAAAGGTTACACGTGTTTGGTGTGCTCGGCGATTTTTTACTTGTACAAAAAATGGAACAAAGAATTTGCATTAAATTTTGCTTTAAGAATGGAATAAAGTGCAGCACCATATTGGAAATGTTGAATGTTGCTTTTGGCGAGTCTTTTATGAATAAAGCAAGCGTTTACAAGTGGTACAAACGTTTCCAAGAGGGCCGTAAAGACGTTGAAGATGACGAGCGCTCTGGACGGTCTAGCACATCAACAACCGATGACAACGTCGAAAAAGTGAAGAAAATGATTATGGACAATCGTCGAATCACTATCAGAGAGGTTGCTGATGATGTTGGCATATCATTTGGCTCATGTATCGAAACTAAGGCCCAATCGTCCCAATGGAAGCTTCCTGAAGAGCCAAGACCGAAAGAAGCTCGTCAAGTTCGATCGAATGTGAAGGTTCTGCTCACTGTTTTCTTCGATTTCAACGGCATAGTGTACCATGAGTTCTTGCCACTAGGTCGTACGATCAATAAGAAGTACTACCTGGAAGTTCTACGCGGTTTGCGTGAAGCAATCCGAAGAAAACGCCCGGATTTGTGGCAAAACAACTCATGGCAATTGCACCATGATAATGCACCTGCTCACACTTCACTGGTTGTTCGTGAGTTTTTGGCCAAAAACAACACCGTTATGATACCTCAGCCTCCGTATTCGCCGGACATGGCCCCCTGCAACTTCTTCCTATTCCCGAAGATGAAAAAAACCATGAAAAGACGACGTTTTGCCAACATTGAGGAGATAAAGACAGAGTCGCTGAAGGAGCTAAACGCCATACCGAAAATTGCGTTCCAGAAGTGCTTCGAAGATTGGAAAAAGCGCTGGCTGTACAGGGCTGAGGAAGTGTGTAAACGCCCTACACAGATACGACAGTGCCGCTGCCACGGAAGAGATGGATGCTTGGTTCGTGCCTCCTCCCGCCTTAAATCCATAATTTAAAAACCAAATTATAAATTTATCACATTTTTAAGAGATTTAACAAGTAATAAATTGTTTTACAATTTGTTTGGGGCTCACATTAGTTGATAGTTTACAATCGTTAATCACTTAGTAATTAGTAGTAAAAATAGTGTATTATGGTTTTGGGTTTAATTTTAGTCATTAGTCTTTGCTTTAATTGGTAATTGCATAATCTTGCACGTTTATCGATTATCGCGCGAGAAGTTGGTGGATCGGGATCGGGCTGCATATATATTATCGACTCACTAATCGGTGCTGCCCTCGTCAATCCACCGATAACTCTCGTGTCGAAAATTCGAGCTTGTACTCGGCCTGCAAAACGTTTGCAGGACCCACGGCACTCAGTCGCCAATGGTCGTACAGAAAATACGCAGGTCTCTGGTCCGCGAAGACAACTTTGAAGACGGACGTTCCCTGCCACGAAGGACGGTTTCTTAATGCATGCTTGCTGCCTCGCTTTCTTTGGCTACCTTTTTCCTGCTTGCTCGCCTGCTTGTTCTCCTGCTCACTCAAAGACGGAGGAACTCAGACCTTCCAAGGAAAACGAGGAACGAATCCCGAGACTAAAAGGTATACACCGTGCGGTAAGCCAATTTTCGCTTTTTTTGTTCACTTCGCGATCGTCGTAATTTAATACTTAATAAGTCCACTCTATTTGCATTTACTCGCTCAATTTCGCATTCCGGGGAGACTTGAATATACCCTCCCCGAATACAATTATTGTTAATAAAATTCTTCATTATTTAATATTTTCGTATAATATATAAAAAATATATATAAAATAAAATATTATACATATATAGTTTTTATTATACATATATAATTTATTCTTAGAAAAAATAACGAAATTTTGATTGCATACATAGAATTGCATATATAGTGGTTCATAATGTCCATTTATTTAAATTTTATATATGTAATATATATACGGAGTGTTTCATTTTAATCGCCCCAGACAAATATTTCGAAAAATATGAAAGATATGGAAAAACGTTTCAGACAAAAGTTGTTTGGTTTGAAGGGGAACATAAGATGGTGTCATTGGTTTGACCTTAAGTGAACGTGTCAAGGTCATATGGAGTTCAACTTTATTTTTTTTAATGGAATCATTTTTTGTTGCATGTTCTTGTAGCTTATCTCGAGAGCTTTTTAAAATACTATAATTAAGTATTTTTTCATGAAATACTTTTTGAGTTACAAGGCTTGAAAGTTACAATTCTGCTGCTATTAGCATTACACAAGGTATGCCGGCCAGTGAAGGTAAGACCCAAGATTGATCTGGCCAGTGAAGACAAGACCCAAGATTGATCCGGCCAGTGAAGGCAAGACCCAAGATTGATCCGGTCAGTGAAGGCAAGACCGATTGACTCTGTAAGATCACATCGAAGTCACATTGAATGTGTATTTTTAGTCTACAGCAAATGCTCAAATATACCACCATTCTGTTGGATACATAATTGCAACCGTTTTTCGAATCCATCGACTGTTTTTTTGAGAACGTTGGCTGGTATATTTCTACACACCCGTTTGATGCGGTCTTTTAGGTCTTTAGCTGTGGTAGGTGCGGTCTGGTAACAGTATATTTAAATAGCCCCATAAGAAAAGATCTGGTGATGTTAGATCTGGTGATCTGGATGGCCATGCTACATGACCACCTAGTTCAATCCAACGGCGCGGATAAGTTAAATTTAAAAAGTCCCTTACAGGGCATGCGTAGTGTGGTGGTGCACCGGCCTGTTGCAATCACATACGTTGGACTGTATTTACATCGACAAACTCTAACATCCTTGGCAACATACTCGTAGCATATGTAAATATGATTCCCCTGTAACATTGTCATCAAAAAATTGGGGTTCAACAATATGACTATCTAAAATACCACACCAAACTATCACCTCCCACCGATGCTGATTGTCTACATGACGAACCCAGTGCGGATTAATATCAGAATAATAATGGCTATTATGTCAATTCAGTATAACATCGCTCTCAAATGCAGCTTCGTCACTAAACATAACACGAAAAAAAATGTGGGATCGAGCTGAATTTGAGCTACAGCCCACCTGCAGAATGTGACACGAAAAACTTTATCATTATCAGAAAGCTCCTGATTAAGTGAAATGTGATAAGGATGAATGTGATTGTCACGTAGAATTTTATTTACAGTCGCAGGAGACACATTTAAATCACGACTAATTTGACGTTGACTAATGTGCGGATTCATTATTACCATTCCTAATATAGTTAGAATTCTATTTACAGTCGCAGGAGACACATTTAAATCACAACTAATTTGACGTTGACTAATGTGCGGATTCATTATTACCATTCCTAATATAGTTACGATAATAGCACCGTCGTTATTTAATGGTTTTTTAAAATGTTTGCGTTTCATCTGTCCCGTACGCGCTCTAAAACCTAGTCTACAATGAGTCGTTAGTCGTTAGTCACAAGTAAATTGATCAACCACAGTTTATTATTCCAAAAATATTCTAAGAATAATCGATTCTGGTTGGTCAATTTGCTTGCGACTAACGAATAACGACTCATTGTAGACCGGGCATAACTGTTAAACGCAAAATTGCTTTATGATCGGGATGTCGTCTATCCGGATACTTATCTCGATATTGACGAGCTGCTTCTCTAGCATTATTATCAGCGGCATAATAAATATCAATCATATCAACAATTTCTGAGGGCGGATAATCTGCCATGTTGATAATGACACAATTAACAAAGGGGAATATAATAAATTTACTCTAATAACCAAACGTATCGAACAAATCGTCGCAATAAGAGCTAACTCGAGTCGATTTTAACTAAAAACAATCAGCTGAATGGGAGCTGAATGAAAGTGTTTTGTGGTAGTAGTCTACTGAAAAGAGCACTGTGATTGCTTCATTATTCCGTAAAAGTCAAGCTTCGGCGATCCTCCAAATACTTCAAACGTGTTCTAGGCACTCCCCCGAAATGAAAGGGCAACGCGCTTTAGTGCTCATAAAAATCGCAGTTTTTAAACCAAATATCTCGGAAACTACTGATTTTGTAAAAAATTATTAAGGTACCAAAACATTTATTTTGATTAGATAAATCCGAAAGTACAATAAAAAATAGTTTTTATTAAAAAAAATAAAGTTGATTTTGATCTGACCTAAAATTACGATTCTTTATTCTTTGAATTCAATCTTAAAAACTATTAGTTTTACAAAAAAATATTAAAATACAAAAAATGTTTAATTGAATTATATCAACCAAAAAATGCAACAAAAAATAAGTGCTGCTATTTAAAAAAATAAAATTGATCTTGAAAAACGAGCCTTACGGGAAGATCGATGTCATTACCTTATGTCTCCCTCGGAACCCTAAAATATTTGTATGCAACATTTTTTGCTATCTTGCTTACCTTACGAGATAACAGCCCCGGTGATTAAAATGAAATACACAATACTAAATGTGGCGATGAAAATTCAATCGCATAAATGCGTAAGCGGGTAAGTGGCCGCGCCGATATTACGGGCGCCGCCGCTACGCGGCGCGCGCCGAGCTAGCTTGTGGCGTTCCTGTTACCGTCGACTTCTTAGTAACTTAGTTTCTTAGTAACGATATATATTTATTTGTTTGTAAAAAACAGTCATTACATTCATTCCATGTATCTGATTAAATATACATACATTTATTTCTGATTAAATATTAATAATTAAATACAAAGAAAGTCTAGTTATTTTCACATAAGTTCCCACAACTGGTGACCCCGACGTGATCTCGTCAAGTGCGGTACTTCTAAATTAGTGACTAAGAAATCTGCAAGTCCGATTTCTTGTTCAGTGTGGAATTGTGGAAACTTCTGGACAATTTACGGCTTTTCTTTGACAAGAACTTCTAGTCTTCTTGGTGGCTGAGTTGTTATTCGGCAAGTTTCTTGGACTTCGTTGCTTAGAACTTCGAAAATTCTTCGAGATGCCTGTCGATAGAACACCGTCCGCCACTCCAAGATCAGTTTCAGCTTCTGAAGATCAACAGGATCAGCATGCCAATTATACGGAAAGAGCAGCTCAACATACCAGCAATGAGCCGAGAAATTCAGGTGAGTCCGGTGAAATCAATGCCAACGAATTTCGTCTTCTTAAGCTACCGATTTTCTGGCATAAGCAACCGAAACTCTGGTTTGCTTAACTTGAGAGTGAATTTTTGGTTTTTCTGATTCGTTCGGATGATATCAAATATAGCACTGTAATAAGACATCTTGATGAACAAGCTCTTTTAATGGTTGCTGAGATAATTGAGAGACCACCTAAAAAAGATAAATATACAAAGATAAAGAATCTCTTTATTAATCGTTTGACTGATTCGAATGAAAAGCGGCTTTGGCAATTATTGGCTGGTGTTGAATTGAATGATAAGAAACCGTCTGATTTGGTTAGAGAACTTAGACAATTGGCTGGAGGAACTATTTCTGATAATGTGTTACATTCAATTTGGCTTCAAAGATTACCTTATCGCGTTCAAGCACTTTGGCAGTTGTTGAAGGTAGTCCTCTAATTAAGTTGGCTGATTTAGCTGATAAAATCATGGATCGGGAGTCTGGACTTCAAGTTGCTATGATAACTCCTTCAACTGAGCCTTGTAATACTAAATCTTGTGATCTTGCCGATCTCGAACGTAGAATTTTAGCTTTGGAGGTCATGCGTTCTAGAGATAGGTCAAAATCTAGATATAATGGAAAGAGAAGATTTAGGTCGACATCAAGAAATAAAAAGACTGTTAAAAAAGATGAGCAAACTTGCTTTTACCACAGAAAATTTGGTAATAAAGCTGTTAAATGTACGATTCCTTGTTCTATGTCACAATCCTTCACAGTTAACCAGGAAAACTAGATGTTCCGTTGAAGGTGGAGACGGCTGTCAACGGTTCACCCAACAATCGTCTCATTATCACCGATAAATATTCAGGCCTTAATTTTTTGATAGATACAGGAGCTGACATATCTCTGGTTCCAAAAAGGTCAGTATCAAATACTCCGTCTTCTTCTTTTAAACTCTTTGCTGCTAACGGTACCAAGATTGATACCTATGGATCAAAAACCTTAGCCTTAAATCTTGGATTACGCAGAGTTTTCAAATGGAAATTTTGTATTGCAAATATTCAACGACCAATTTTGGGAGCAGACTTTTTGAGTCATTATGGATTATTGGTTGACATGAAACGTAAACAATTAATTGATACTGTTACTAGTTTAACTCACAAAGGAAGGTTGTCAAGAACTAATCATTTAACAGTCTGTACAACTTCACCAGATTCAGCTTTCCATAAAATCCTTGCTGAGTTTCCAGAGTTAAATCGTTTTGCTCCAATTTCAAATAATAAAATACACCAGGTAGAACATCATATCATCGTCAAAGGTTCTCCTGCTGCTTCGACTCCTCGACGACTATCTCCTGAGAAATTGCACATCAAGCAATTTTGACTGACTATTTGAAGGACAGTAAGAAGAAGGACAAGAGTTTGGTTAGTTGATCACCTGAAGCAGAAGAGGCTTTCAAATTCTGCAAGGAAGAGTTGTTACGGATCACAACCTTGACTCATCCTGCTCCAGCAATCCCTCTTATTTTGACTTGCGACGCTTCTGATTTAGCGGTAGGTGCCTCCCTGGAACAAATTATTGACGACTGTAATAAACCAATAGCGTTTTTCTCTAAGAAATTGGATAACACTCAACGTAATTATAGCACTTACGATCGTGAACTTTTGAGTATCTTTTTGGCTATCAAACATTTTAGATATCTTCTTGAAGGACGTCAAATTTTGATACGAACCGATCATAAACCTTTAGTTTATGCTTTCAAGCAGAAATTGGATAAAGCTTCGCCACGACAGATTCGGCAATTGGATTTTATTGCTCAATTTTCAACTGACATTGAATATATTCCTGGAAAAGATAATATTGTTGCAGATTCGCTCTCAAGAATTGAATCCATTTCTATGCCAGTTATTGTTTCTCTGGAAGATCTGACTACATACCAACAAGAAGATGAGGAATTAAAATCTCTCCTTACAGATTCTTCTCTCAAACTACAGAAACTGATTCTTACTGGTTCTATACAGCTAATTCCACGCCTACTTCAAGTTCCACTACGCCTTTAACTACTTCTCATGGAACTCTGAGGACGTATTCTGGTCCCAGGAAACAAGTTCGTTTCGCAACATAGGATGTTGCTTGCGGGGGAGTACTGTGGCGTTCCTGTTACCGTCGACTTCGTTATCGACTCGAGTTTATCGATATATTTCGATATATATATTTTATGCTGTTGATTTGTCGTTTCTTAGTAACGATATATATTTATTTGTTTATAAAAAACAGTCATTACATTCACTCCATGTATCTGATTAAATATACACACATTTATTTCTGATTAAATATTAATAATTAAATACAAAGAAAGTCTAGTTATTTTCACATAAGTTCCCACAAGCTTACCCGTAAGCCGAAAGACGCTCAGGCGGCTATATATACGCCGCGCACATCTAGTACCGGGCACCTCCGCTAGGCGTCACACGCCAGGTATGCTTTTCCGTGGGCCAAAGTCAACCCACGGGAAAGATAAGCAGGCTTACCGGGGAGTCAACAATTAGTAATTAGCGCATTTTCGCTACTCTTACAAATCAACACGGCGCCTAGTCGCCAGGATTATCCTACGAAGAAAACATCAAGCCGCCAAGACGAAGAGCGCGAAAAAGCTTTCTCCTCGGAAAGGAGAAATAGGCGTGCGAAAACACACCCGGCCGACGCCTCTACACCACCTGACAAGGAGAAAACCGGGCACATCCTCGCCTTCGTCTGGCGCTCAGCGCCAACACTCCGGCGCACAGTCGCCTTCACCTGGCGCCTTGCGCCCCAGCTCTGGCGTTGTCTCGCCGCCACCCGGCATTCAATGCCCCAGCTCCGGCGCCCCGACGCCTTCACTTGACGTTTCGCGCCCCGACTCCGGCGCATCCTCGGCGTCGCCTGGCGCTCCGCGCTACGGCTCCGGCGTATCCTCGGCGTCGCCTGGCACTCCGCGCCACATCTCCGGCGTATCCTCGCCTTGGCCTGGCGCTCCTCGCCGCAACTCCGGCGTATCCTCGCCTTGGCCTGGCGCTCCTCGCCGCAGCTCCGGCGTATCCTCGCCTCGGCCTGGCGCTCCTCGCCGCAGCTCCGGCGTGTCCTCGCCTCTACCGGGCGCAACGCGCCCCAGCTCCAGCGTATCCTCGCCTTTGCCGGGCGCAACGCGCCCCAACTCCGACACATCGTCGCCTTCGCTGGGCACTCCACGCTCCAACCCCGGCGCCACCTCGCCTTTGTCCGGTGCCTCGCGCCACCACACAGGTACTCCATCCGCACGGAGTAGCACCACGTCATCCAAACCGAGGGTCATCAATGTCATCTCTGGCCCTCATCCGCCTCGGCTCCCGGAGAAGCGACGCAGCTCCAGCACCAGACGTGCTCACAATAGACACCCCCGACTAGCCAAGGGCGTGGAACAAACGAGGCAAACCAGAAAACGTGGAGGACAACGGCGTTATGTTCCTATTGACTATTTCGCCAAATGTAAATATATGAAGAAAATATAATTATGATCTCGATATAAAAGTTATATCATTTACTGCCAGAACCTAAGCGATTCCTTGCAAGTTCCTACCTCCAAAGCGATCACTGAATAGTAGTATTAAGCTACACTAAAATACATTTTAAAATTATTTTACGAAAACACTCTCGGACGCGGGCTAACATTTCTGGTGTCACTTCGAACATCTTGAATAAATATTTTTTTATTTAATCTTTTGCTCACACACACACACACACACACACACACACACACACACACACACACACACACACACACACACACACACACACACACACACACACACACACACACACACACACACACACACACACATACACACACACGCACACACGCATGCACGCACGCACGCACACACGCACGCACACACGCACAAAACAAAAGAGGTATAAATCCGACCGGGCAATCTTCACGCGGTGCACCTTAGGTAATGCTAATGCCGGCGGAACTGTAACTTTCAAGCCTTGTAACTCGAAAAGTACTTCATGAAAAAATACTTAATTAGAGTGTTTTGAAAATCTCTCGAGGTAAGCTACAAGAATATGCAATAAAAAATAGGGCATTCCATTTAAAAAAATGAAGTTGAACTCCATATGACGTTGGCACGTTCACTCAAGGTCAAAACAATGAAATCATCTTATGTTCCCCTGCGAACCAAACAACCTTTGTCTGAAACGTTTTTTCATATCTTTCATATTTTTCGAGATATTTGCCTGGAATAAAATGAAACACCCTGTATATATATATACAGTAATATTTGTGACTACAGATGTAAGACAGTTTCGAAAACATATAAATGTTAAGATGAAAAACATACGTATATACTATATTATTATAAATACAATTGCACAGTAATGCATTGCATTATACTACAAGTATGTTATATTGTAAGATTACTGCAATGTTACAATACAATATTACAAAAAGCGGACATCTTAACGTTGCCACAATCTTACAGTCATGGTGCAGCAATATTTCGTAACCAATTTGCAATATTGCAATGTTTCAATGAAATTATTCTGCAGTATGTCTGCAACCTTTCTGTACTATGGCGAAGTATGTATGGGCTGAGTGAATACTAGTGTATGACCACAAATACATTTGATGAAATTATTTTTCCAAAGCATTTCTGTTTTTATTATGATGCCACATACATATTGCGTTAAAGCTTACTTAGAAGTCTATTCGATGTCTATTAGATGTTGAGAGGTGACTTGCAGCCCAAAGAGTGTTTTATAAACAATTTGCACCGCTATTGTGTGAACATTAAGTTTTAACTGTGTCTAAAAAAATTCAATAACATAAAATTACATGGCATCTAATTCAGATATTTCCAGATGTTGTTTTAGACTAGATGGCTCCAACTTACAGAAACATCTATAGACGTTTATAGACGTCTAATAGACATCTAATGCACATTTTTTCAATCGATATTTCTCACTGGGGTATATCCCAAGTAGCGAACTGACGTCACAATGACGATAAATTTTGGCCACAAAATGACCAATTAAACGTCCTAAGTTAGGTCTTATGAGACCCGAAAATGATGTCGATATGTCACATCCACGAGACGTCATTTTCTGATGTTTGACGGCAAAACTAAAATCAATTATAGTATAGATATATTATAGATAAATTTAAATAATTTAATTTATAAAATTAAAGACTATTTTGTACAATTGTTTTTGGTTAAAATATTCGTTTAATTTTTATTTTCAGTTGGCGCAATTTGTTGATATCATTATTTTTGTAGGATATATTTGTACAATTTTTTTTGGGTTAAAATATTTTTATAAATCTTTATTTCCAATAATTTAAAATAACACTATTTTATAAATATATATAAATACAGTTCTTCACAAGTGGCGCGTGTACTTGGCGCCTTTTTTTACTTTTTTTTAAAAAGGTACGTTTTTCGGTTTAATAGATACGGGATCGGATATCAGTGTATATCCACGTAATCTAATAAAAGGCCCATTATGGTTAAGCACATACCAACTCTACGCAGCAAACAACACAATTATTCAAACTTATGGACAAATTACAATGGAATTAAACCTTGGTTTAAGAAGAAAATTCTTATGAAGATTTACAATAGCCAATATAACACAACCAATAATTGGCGCTGACTTCTTGTCATATTTTCATCTATTCCCAGATCTACAAAAGGGTCGTTTGATTAAAAACAGAATTATCAACGAAGAAATCTCCAAGCACCATGAAGAATGAAAGCATTAAAATTATTAATAAAAAAACAAATTTTCACAGTCTACTTTCTGAATTTCCTAACATTATTAAGTTACCAGGAATCAGGAAGGAACCACGGCACACAACGGTACATTATATTAAAACAACGAAAGGGCCACCTAAAGGATACCGCCCACGACGTCTGGCTCCAGATAAATTAGAAGTAGCAAAAGCCGAATTTGACCTCTTATTAGAAGAAGGAGTAATTCAACCATCGAAGAGCCCATGGGCTGCACCTCTTTACATAGAACCGAAAAAAGGGAATTGTTGGTGACCTTGCAGTGATTATCGCAAATTAAATGCGAGAACTGTGCCAGATCGGTACCCAATTCCTCATATTGAAGATTTTACGCAAACATTGAAAGCAAGAAAATCTTTTCAACAATAGACTTGGTGAGAGCTTACAATCAGATACCAGTACATCCAGAGGATATCCCAAAAACAGCAATAACAACTCCTTTCGGCCTATTTGAATATAAATATATGCCATTTGGACTACGTAACGCAGCACGAACTTTCCAACGTTTCATCAATGAAGTTTTTCATGGGCTAGATTTTTGCTATGCATATATCGATGACATATTAGTAGCATCAAAATCAGAACAGGAACATGAAAAACATTTAAGAAACTATTTCAGAGACTGGATGATTTTAGGTTAATAATAAATCCCACTAAGTATATCTTTGGGGAAACACAAGTCAAATTCTTAGGGTACTTAGTGTCAGAAGGTACTAAACCCCTACCAGAAAAAGTACAAGCAATCCAAACTTTCCGAAACTGCAAACTGTCAAACAGATGCGCCAATTCCTGGGGATGTTAAACTTTTATAGAAGATTCATCCCTGGAGCCGCAAAAGACCAAGCAAAACTTAATGAGACTCTAACAGATCCTAAATCAAAAGGGAAGATACCAATCATTTGGACATCAGACTTAGACGAAGCATTCGAGAAGACGAAAAACAGTCTATCTCGAGCAACATTGTTGGTATACTCGAATCCACAAGCTAAACTTGCTGTAATTACAGATGCTTTTGACAATGCTACAGGAGCTGTAATCCAACAGAAAATAGAAAAAGATTGGTAACCGCTGGCATTTATGAGCAAGAAATTAAGTCCGGCACAAAGAAAATACTGTGCTTATGACAGAGAATTGCTAGCAATTTACACAGCAATAAAATATTACAGACATCTTTTAGAAGGACAAAAATTTACTATATTTAAGGATCACAAACCGCTTATTTATGCTTTTAAACAGGATCCGCTACGAAGCTCCCCGCGCCAAGCACGCCATCTTGAATTCATTGGACAATTCACTACGGACATTCAACACGTTTCCGGAAAAGAAAACATGGTAGCAGATGCCCTATCAAGAGTAAAAGTATTCAAAAGGCAATCAATTTTGAAAAATTAGCGGAATCTCAGAAGTCTTATGATGAATTACAACAAATTCTGCAAAGCAATTTAACATTGAAATTAAAAGAAATACCAATTCCCGGAACAGAGATCACGATATTTTGTGATGCAAAATCGCAGATTCCATGCCCTTTCGTGACCAAATCATACCGAAAAAAAGTTTTTCGATCATTACATGATCTATCGCATCCTGGTGTTAAAGCTACTGCAAAATTAATTATGCAAAGATTTGTTTGGCCAGGAATACAGCAAGATTGCCGTAAATGGTCGCAAGCTTATTTACAATGTCAGCGGAGGTCACAAGGCATAATAAAACGCCAATTGGGAACTTCTAAACTCTCACACAACGCTTCCAGCACATACACATTGACATTGTTGGACCAATGCCAATTTCAAAAGGATATTGTTATTGCTTGACAATAGTAGATTGATATACGAGGTGGCCGGAAACAATACCAATTCTGGACATCTCAGCAGAAACGATAGCGAGCAACATTTTTGCCAATTAGATAGTAAGATTTGGAGTTCAAATTCGAATTACGACAGATCAAGGCCGACAATTTGAGGCAGAATTATTCAGACGTTTGATTCAACTTACGGGTTCAACACACTTTAGAATAATGGCATACCATCCAGCAGCAAACGGCATGGTCGAACGCTTCCATAGACAATTAAAAACAGCCATTAAATGTTACCAAACAGAAAAATGGGTAGAGATTCTACCAGGTGTTAATGGGCATCAGAGCAGCATGGAAAGATGATCTTCAAGCGACAATAGCAGAAATGGTTTACGGAGAACCAATCAAATTACCTAGGCAATTCCTACAACAGAGCACTCCAAAAGATTCTGAAGAAAACTATGGAGACTATGGAAAATCATGCTTAGTCGAAGGAAAAACATGCAAGATTTAAAACCGCAAGAAAATAATAGACACGGACAAGCAACAACTTTCATATTTCAAGATATGAAGACAGCATCTCATGCTTTTATACGAAGAGAATTGCTTGACGGATCTTTTCAACCATCTTACGAAGGACCTTATAAAATAATAAGAAAAAATGAAAAAATAGTCACACTCTGCAAAAACGGAAAAAATGTAAATATTTCAATAGATCAATTAAAACCGGCGTATATTCTTCAAGAAGATGACACGGAAACAAATCTGCAAAAAGAGCAACAAACGAAACAAGAACCACAAACAAAGCAAAAATAACCCGAAAAAATAAAAACTCGCAATAGACGAACATCTCGCCCACTAGTTCGCTTTCAAATTCCACAGACTTATATACAGCGAAGAAGATAATGTGGCGGCTCTAACTCTCGCCGCCATCTTTAAATCTTTGACAGCGTTCGATGCGATTGACGCGATTGAGCGTTAGACGCAGCGGACCGCAGCCGAACATCGAACATCGGACTCATGCTGCGAAAAATATTTTCGCGAGCATCGTTAGGTAGCGTAATGACAGAAACATTTTTGCGATAGAAGAATCCAGTCATTAACGCTATATAAAGAAGTCGATCTGACATCAGAAGAGGATTCCCAGCTGGACGGGATAAAGTCTAACACGTAACCACCCAGCAAACCACAGCATATAACATAGACGTATATGTAATATTACACGAGTGTCATGAATGTTACATGTAATATTACTTATACAGGTAAATGTTACGTTCTGGTACGGCTCTATGTCAGCAACTTTGAATATATTATTTATATATTCGATACATTTCAAATGATATGTTACTGTAACATAACATAGATATATATATATTTTACATATTTCTCTAAATCATGTAATATCAGACTACGCATTGAAAATTGAGATTCAAGATTCAAGATTGAAAGTTGACCAATCAGGACAAAGAAGTTGTAGTTTCCTTTGTTCTGATTAGTCAAATTCCAATCTTCAATTTTCAATGCGTAGTCTGATACGGGTTTAAGGATCATTTTTTGCAAATGGACCTAGGATCGGAAATGCATCGTTACATCGCTAGGCCGTCGGGAATGTCGGCGACACAAGGCTCTGAGCAAGGCAGCCTGCCATGCACGTGACGTTACAAACGCTTAATTTAGACAACGCATGGCACGTTGCTTGTCCGAAAAGTACCGCAATTAAATGGCAGTGGCTGAACAAGACGAGGAAGAACATATTGAGAAATTAGACATGCTCAGAAAGCACATAAGGATCATGTTTCTATCTTCCAGCACTGACCTACAGAGTATAGTCGGCCACTGCTATTTAATTGCGATACTTTTCGGAAAAGCAACGCGCCATGTGCTGTCTAAATTAAGCGTTTGTGACGTCACGTGCATGGCAGGCTACCTTGCTCAGAGCCTTGCGCCGCCAACATTCCCGACATCGTAACGATGTAACGATTTCCGACCCTAGGTCCATTTGCAAAAAATGATCCTTAGGATGCCCCCAACAATCTCTGAAAGTTTGTCGGTTGAATATTTGGATACCCTGTATATACATATATATATATATATGCCTATTAATTTTATACTATTTCAAGTTTAAAATTTAAATACACTTAAGTGTATAAAGACTAAGTGTAAAAGATGTAATTTTCAACAATTTAATTTGAAAAATATGTTCAATTATAAATACAAATGTGTATGTACATGGATCTATAGTACTATTTTAATCGAAAAAAGAAATTACCTCATTCGGTTTCAAGCCGGTATAACAAAACATTCCGATTTGATCGGTAATGTGGGACCAATCGCGAGTGCTGCCGTTTTTCTTCAAATGGTCCCTAAGCTTCGTGCGAACTGAAATGATGCGATCGGCCATATTCTTAACGTCGTGTAACCATTCTTTTTGCAATTCCGAATTGCCGAGAATTTCATTAACTATACGAGCTCCATAGATTGGCGGATTCGAATACATTGGTCTGATTAGAATCTTCAATTGCGACAAAGTGCGCGCAGCCTCGTCCTTGCTGGATGTAATCAAACTAAACGCTCCAACGCGTTCACCTGAGAAAATAAAAAACAATTTCGCAAAAATTTATTTTTTGCGAAATTTTTATTTTTTTCACTTATACAGGGTGTCCTACCAAAAGTAACCACACCTTTTTAGCTTTTAAACTAAAAGAAATAGACTATAATAAATATATATCCAAATAAATGGTTCAAACTGAACTCTATTGTGAACATAAAATAGTTGCTTACAAAAGCTATCTGTGTTAACGAACGGAGAGGAATGCATTTTTTTTTTTTAATATAACAATGTGGATATTTCTATACAAAAGTTGTAGCGCTGTATATATATACAGGGTGTCTGATAATAATCGCCCCACCCGTTATGTGCAGGTAGAGTGGGTTAAACTGAACAGAAAAGTCCTGTAACATGTTTTTCTATAACTTAATAAAGGAGTTATTACTGAGTAAAGTCTGCCAATCAGCGCCGACCTTTAGCCGCGCGCCTAGTAGTGTGCGTGAGCGCTCCGTCGCTACGGCGGTGCACACTATCAGGCGGGTGGCTCACCGACGTGCGTCCGGCTAAAAGTCGGCGCTGATTGACCAGACTTTACTCAATAATAACTCCTTTATTAAGCGTTATAGGAAAAAATGCTACAGGACTTTTCTGTTCAGTTTAACCCACTCTAACTGCACATTACGGTTATTATTAAAAAAAATTGTTTTTGAGAAAAAGTATGTAATTATTTACAATGTATTTTTTAGACTCACCCTGTATACGTACATATATAATTATTAAACTTGGCAATTTAATAATTAATCTTTTATATTAATGTTTTTGTATTTGATTTTATAGATTAATATTTTTTGTATATTTGATTTTATAAATTCCTTGTACACACCATAGAGACCCATATTCTTTGCATAAGATTGAGCCAAAGCGATATTGTGCCCCTCTTTAATAAACAATCTGACTGCAAAGGCATCCCTTGTAAGATCCCCTGAGAAAAATAGATTAGAATGATAAATTAATAATTATAATAAAATGTTAAGATGTGTAACTTTGTTCTACATAATTTATTTAAGAAAGTTTTGTTAAAAATTTTATTTTATTTAAGAGAGAGAGACGAATAGTTTTAATTAATAAATATATATCTACATTTTATATTAAATTAATAACAAATCTATAAGTTCTAATGCATTAAAAAAGAGTTACCGAGTTATTTTTTGCATCGTTTTGATTTATACATTTATTTATGAGATGTACAAAAAAAGAAATTGTAAGTAATTTTTAGTTTAAAAATACCTGAGGCAAAGCCTTGATATGCCATATCAAAAAATGGAAACAGATTTTTTTTCTTGATCAGAGTGGACAATTGTGCCCACTGATCTGGTTTAGGATCAACACCAGTGGGATTATGAGCACATGCATGCAAAAGAATAATCGATCTCTCAGGAATGTTCTGTTGATAGATACATTGTATTAATAAATAAAATAAATATTAATTTTTTGATAATTATTATAACGTTAACAATACAAAATGTAAAACACTAATTTTGCACATGCAACATTTCTTGTAAGATTCCTATTATCAATTATATGTATATATATTTACATTTATACATATTTATATATTTATTGAAAACTCATTAATATTTAAAATGTCTCTGTATATTAATAAATAAGTATTAGTTATTATAATTTTAATTAATGTGTGAACTTTTTTGTAACTAATATTTATCTTCGAAACAATCTCTGTTAATGCAAGCATTAACATTTAGAATAATGTTCTGCTTGTTAGAAGCCTTGTATATACTAACAGATATATCTTCCACTACTCCTTTAAAATCCAAACCGCAAGTTTTTGGATTATAGTAACGATAAGACTTGACTGTAAGTCCAGCAAGCCTAAATAGAGGATTATGATTTCCCCATGAAGGAATTGGAAGATAAATTTCCTTATTATCAGGAAAATGGTGAGATAAAAATTGTGCTCCGACAAACAAAGAACCAGTACCAGAGATCCCTTGAATCGTTGCATTCTGAAAAGAAAATTTTTGTTAAAAGAAAGCTCCATATTATTTTTATTATATTGTATTGTATTTACCAATCCATTTGTAACAACTTCATTTCCTTTCCCAAGAGCCAAATTAATACTGTGTTCACAAAATTCAGCATTGCCAGAGATTGTGGAATATTCTTTATCCATTTCTTTAATTCGAATTTTTTCTTCTGCCTATCATCAAGAATGGGAAACATATTTTATTATATTTTTTAATAATTATATTTTATTTTTATCATTATATATTTATATCATAACATATAATCATATTTTATTTTATAACTTTATATACGTAGGTTGATCAAATATGAACGAGACTTTTCGAATAGGAGCAGGATACTTTAACGCTCGTTGTTATGACAATATTGGGCTGTAGATATGTCTAGACTCGCTCTAAACTGCGCGTTTGTGTCTACAATCGTTTGTTTAATAGTAAGCATGATAAGTGAACAGAAGGTGCCTGTCTCGGTTGCGCAACGCATAATTATCAAATTTTTAATGCATGAACATGTTAAATCAGCCAAAATTTTGTGCATGTTATGTGCATAGTTCGGTAAGAACACATTATCAAAGTCTCAAGTATGCAAATGGCATAAAGTTTTTTTGTGAAGATCGTGAAGAAGTTGCAAATTTGACTTATGCGCATCAACCTAGGACGAGCAATAAAGGTGCCTTTACATGGCAGCGTCAAACGTCAACCGTCGAGCGTTAAGCGTCTGCGCAGAATATTGTTGCCCAGAATTATATTTATTTCATTTATTTTATTATGTAATAGATGTGTATGTGTGTGTGTTATTATTATTATTAATCAAAAATATGTTATAAAACGTTATTACTCTGGCAACTCTGGCAAAAATTAAATTAAAATACGAATGCGGCAAGAGATTTTGGATGGTTGAAATATTCAAATAAATAAGACACAAAAAGGGATTCACAAATGACAAAACGACACAGTTTGAAAAACTATTGTTAAAAGTAGGAAATGATTTAAAGGAGCAGTATGTTATAAACATGCAGGAAAAAAAAAATGAAAATTATATCCCTTTATTAGATTCTAATATTCTGCTGGGGGATAGTAACGTTTTATATATATTTTGTTTAATAATAATAATATCTGTTGTGTATAATGTAAATAAATATCAATTTTCAGTATTAGTAATGTGTATCAGAACATAATTTTTTTTATCTCGCCCGAATTCATATCACTCATCATGCTATTAGCCGCAAGAAGCTGGAATCTATCTCATTCAGATACCTGCGCAATGATTTCTGTGCAGATGCAGACGTTCGATGCTCGATGCTGCCATGTAATGGCAGCTTTACGCCTGAGAACATTCAACAAATTCGCGGCTTTATTAAAGACGACCGACGAATAACTGTTCGTAAAATTAGTAAATGGATTGACATAATGGCATATTTATGGAAGTGTGCAAACAGTCATTGAGAATGAGTAACAGAAACAATACAATGATTCAATAAGCCTTCGGAAAGCCAGCTGTGCATAAGAGTAACATTTCGAAGATATAGATGAAAAAAACGTGTCAAATCAAATTTTGAAAGGACTTGCTTCAGAGGACTATCAGAGCTACTTTGAGCAATGGCGGAGACGTTGATCTAAGTGTGTCGAGTTAGGTGGTGACTACATTGAACATTTGTAACGTTTCTGTTAGCGACTTCTCTAATTTAACGCAGAATTTGATGTTGGCGCGGTTTCAAGCGTTCCTTCCATTACACCGATTTTTAAGCAAAATTTTGTAACACAATTTCGCGTGACTGCATCTCATTAACTATTCAACCAAATAATTTAAAACTTGCATCACATGTTGAGTATTGAGTTGTGAATAACTCCCTAAAATGGCAGCACAAACGGATCAAATGTTCGGAAATGCGAAGCGAGTCTCGAAACTTAATTGTTCGACGGTGTATATATATACAGGGTGTCTCACAACCTCTGTACAATACTTTAATAGTGTGTTCTACAGATAAAATAGTCAAAAGTTCTAATACAAAAATTTTGAGGCTGCAATAGTGAGTTATAAGCGATCAAAGTTTGCCAATGATATCGCGTAGAGCTCGTGCGCTCAGATCCGTAACTACACATACACGCGTACTGATCTGTCATCTGTTATTGATTTTACAAATTAGGTAATATTGATTTTTACTGCACAGCTGATTTTATTGTTTCTTATGTATATGAATACTATGTACGGCGGTCTCTCTCTCTCTCTCTCTCTCTCTCTCAGCTAATATTAACAAACTATAAATGTTGTACGTAAAATATTTAATTTTTTCTTAAATAACAATTTAAATGGTTGATTAATTATTATATTTAAATACAAATATAAACTTAATATTTTCACACATTTAAGAAATGAAGTTTATTTTTGTTTTGATCGTGCAGAGAAGTTTTGTGGAAATCAATTTATTTATTTTATGTCAGCAATAACAGATGACAGATCAGTATGTGTGTAAATGTAGTTACGAACTTGAGGACGCGAATTTTACGCAATATTATTAGCAAATTTTGATCACTTAAAACTCAAAAACTATTGTAGCCTCGATATTTTTGTATTAAGATTTTTTACTCCATTTTGCCTCTAGAATACGCTATTAAAATATTGTACGAAGGTTGTGAGACACCCTATATATATGTCTATGTATGCTTTTTCTTCAAAGAATTAGCATATTATTTATAACTAACCTTACGAACACTAGGAAGAACATATGGTTTGCCATTGTCATCCCTATAAGCGCCAACACCTAAGTTGATTTTTTTGGGATTTTGATCCCTCTTGAATGCTTCAGTGACTCCCAAAATGGCATCTGGTGGTCCCATCTCTACATGGGACCACCATGAGCTGTAATATATATAAAATTATTTCTTATAATCTATCCCCTCTTTCTCTCTATCTCTATCTCTTTCTCTCTCTCTCTCTTTCTATCTATCTTTCTATCATCTATCTATCTATCTATCTATTTATCTATCTATCTCTCAATAGATAGTATTATCTTTAATTTTATACCAAAAAGATAAGATGTTTATAAGAACAAGTTACTAAAAATTAAGCAACAGATACAGCTATCAAATTATATAATCAATTTGAAAATTACAATACAATAAAAAAATAATAAAATTATAAAAATTTAATCTTAAATTTAAATTTAAACTTTAAAAACATAATGTGTTGAAGAAAAAAGAAATATATTCGTAGAAAGTATTCGTATTTTGATTAGATTCTTTTTTTGCTCTTTTATGTATAAAATAATTCGCATATATGTTTAATTATTTGCAAGAAAAGATAAAAGTAAAAGAAATATAACAAATCTGGAAAAAATACAAACGCATATAATATAAGTTGACAAAACAAACATCTTAATAATTAAATCTCTTTCTCTTTCTCTGTTATATTGTCAATAATGCAATTAATTTAAATCATGAATAATAAAGATTCCAAAGTAACAAATTTAATCGTATTTTTATAGAAAACAGCACTTCAAAAAGTAATAACTTTGCGAAGGTCGAAAGGTCATTCGTTTTGGATACTGTATGTTAAAGGATTTCACCTAGAGAATCTCATCAGCAGAGAACCGTTCTTCAGAAACTTGCCGGTCGTCACGAGCAGTCTCGTGGTGTATGCCATTTAGAATATTTTTCACAATTCTGTCACAATTTTTAAATTTTGAACACGTCTTAACCTCAATGTCGGATGTCAACGGGACTGAAATATATCGGAACGTCTGTATCTGTGTCATAGACATAAGTATATCTAGACCATAGACATAGTATATCTAGACCGAGCGTTTGCCTTTATTTAAGGAGTGGGGGTAAAGGTGCACGTAGAAAAGGACATACTCTGTTTCGTGCCCCTTGCGTTCTCTCTCTTTCATACATGCGAAGAAATAGAGGAACAGGGAATTGGGAACGGTGGAACTGGGAAGTGGCAGAGTCTCAGAATTGGCATCTCTGGTGGCAGAGTCTCAGAATTGGCATCTCTGGTGGCAGAGTCTCAGAATTGGCATCTCTGGTGGCAGAGTCTCAGAATTGGCATCTCTGGTGGCAGAGTCTCAGAATTGGCATCTCTGGTGGCAGAGTCTCAGAATTGGCATCTCTGGTGGCAGAGTCTCAGAATTGGCATCTCTGGTGGCAGAGTCTCAGAATTGGCATCTCTGGTGGCAGAGTCTCAGAATTGGCATCTCTGGTGGCAGAGTCTCAGAATTGGCATCTCTGGTGGCAGAGTCTCAGAATTGGCATCTCTGGTGGCAGAGTCTCAGAATTGGCATCTCTGGTGGCAGAGTCTCAGAATTGGCATCTCTGGTGGCAGAGTCTCAGAATTGGCATCTCTGGTGGCAGAGTCTCAGAATTAGCGTTAAGCGTCTGCGCAGAATATTGTTGCCCAGAATTATATTTCATTTATTTTATTATATAACAGATGTGTGTGTGTGTGTGTGTGTGTGTTATTATTAATCAAAGATATATTATGAAACGTTACTACTCTGGCAATGTAAATTAAAATTAAATTAAAATACAAATGCGGCAAAAGATTTTGGATGGTTGAAATATTCAAATAAATAAGACACAAAAAGGGATTCACAAATGACAAAACGACACAGTTTGAAAAACTATTGTTAAAAGTAGGAAATGATTTAAAGGAGCAGTATGTTATAAACATGCAGGAAAAAAAAAATGAAAATTATATCCCTTTATTAGATTCTAATATTCTGCTGGGGGATAGTAACGTTTTATATATATTTTGTTTAATAATAATAATATCTGTTGTGTATAATGTAAATAAATATCAATTTTCAGTATTAGTAATGTGTATCAGAACATAATTTTTTTTATCTCGCCCGAATTCATATCACTCATCATGCTATTAGCCGCAAGAAGCTGGAATCTATCTCATTCAGATACCTGCGCAATGATTTCTGTGCAGATGCAGACGTTCGATGCTCGATGCTGCCATGTAATGGCAGCTTTACGCCTGAGAACATTCAACAAATTCGCGGCTTTATTAAAGACGACCGACGAATAACTGTTCGTAAAATTAGTAAATGGATTGACATAATGGCATATTTATGGAAGTGTGCAAACAGTCATTGAGAATGAGTAACAGAAACAATACAATGATTCAATAAGCCTTCGGAAAGCCAGCTGTGCATAAGAGTAACATTTCGAAGATATAGATGAAAAAAACGTGTCAAATCAAATTTTGAAAGGACTTGCTTCAGAGGACTATCAGAGCTACTTTGAGCAATGGCGGAGACGTTGATCTAAGTGTGTCGAGTTAGGTGGTGACTACATTGAACATTTGTAACGTTTCTGTTAGCGACTTCTCTAATTTAACGCAGAATTTGATGTTGGCGCGGTTTCAAGCGTTCCTTCCATTACACCGATTTTTAAACAAAATTTTGTAACACAATTTCGCGTGACTGCATCTCATTAACTATTCAACCAAATAATTTAAAACTTGCATCACATGTTGAGTATTGAGTTGTGAATAACTCCCTAAAATGGCAGCACAAACGGATCAAATGTTCGGAAATGCGAAGCGAGTCTCGAAACTTAATTGTTCGACGGTGTATATATATACAGGGTGTCTCACAACCTCTGTACAATACTTTAATAGTGTGTTCTACAGATAAAATAGTCAAAAGTTCTAATACAAAAATTTTGAGGCTGCAATAGTGAGTTATAAGCGATCAAAGTTTGCCAATGATATCGCGTAGAGCTCGTGCGCTCAGATCCGTAACTACACATACACGCGTACTGATCTGTCATCTGTTATTGATTTTACAAATTAGGTAATATTGATTTTTACTGCACAGCTGATTTTATTGTTTCTTATGTATATGAATACTATGTACGGCGGTCTCTCTCTCTCTCTCTCTCTCTCTCTCAGCTAATATTAACAAACTATAAATGTTGTACGTAAAATATTTAATTTTTTCTTAAATAACAATTTAAATGGTTGATTAATTATTATATTTAAATACAAATATAAACTTAATATTTTCACACATTTAAGAAATGAAGTTTATTTTTGTTTTGATCGTGCAGAGAAGTTTTGTGGAAATCAATTTATTTATTTTATGTCAGCAATAACAGATGACAGATCAGTATGTGTGTAAATGTAGTTACGA